CTTTCCGTGTGATTAGAGTCACTCTTTGTAGCCCCAGAGTGGTTCCAAAGGCTACCTACAGTATGCTGGACTTCTCGATTCTCCAGTGACCTTAACTGCAAGTTGGGGGAATCTTTTTTATAGATCATCACCGACCGACCTGGCTTCCATGATGAGAGTGCCATCTACCCTGTGGGCTACTGCAGTACTCGAATATATGCCAGCATGAAGTGCCCAGACCAAAAGTGTCTCTATACCTGTCAGATCAAGGATGGTGGTTTGCAACCCCAGGTATTTTTCTTTGCAAAAATTCATCGAACTTTATTGAAAACTGGTCAAGGAATTAAGTTGGCTATATAGCGCTTGTTACAAAAATACTTTCTTGGCAGAAATTCCTCACTATTGGTATACTTTTGATTTAACAGTTTCTCTTTATAGTCAAGGTATTTTGCAATTCAAAATATAAAATAAAGTGAAATTGGCCTGTACTCCTCCTATATAAGGTTGACCTCAGATTACATGGAGAGTGATCTCATTTGTTTTAAAAATACCATTTGTATCTGTAAGTGGATAGGAAAGGGTCTAGAAAGACATATAACAAATTAAGTGTTGACCTCTGGAGAGCAGTCAAACCAGGAGTATAGAACTGGAACAATCAAAGGACTTTCTCTGTTTTTTTGGATTTGTTTGAATTTTTAACAGCACTGTTAGGAAATTGCAACCGCCTCCTAGTATGGATTATATCAGCTTCAAGTTGCAGAGTGAAGAGTAGTTACAAGAGTAGTATGACTTTACTTCTTCCTCCTTGAAGATTGCTTTCATGGCTCCTTTATCTTTTTCAGTTTGAAATTGTTCCAGAAGATGACCCCCAGAATGCCATTGTCAGCTCTTCCGCAAATGCCTGTCATGCAGAACTGCTCAGGGCATTAAGTGCTACTGTGTAAGTTGACCTACAACTTGAAGGCAGGCTAAAAAGATCATTTTCAGTATACTTTTGGTATCTTTTCTCTTGCTTTTAATGAGCGGAGATCCCTTATTTTATAGAACGCTGTCCTGCATCCTTTGGGTATCTTAGCAACTGGAGTCTCCAGAGTATCCAAGAAAGCTTACTGTGTGTTCTCGCCCACATTCTGTCCCTCAACTCATCCTCTTCTCCCTTTAAGCTCTCGAACTAAAATTCTCCCTCTCTTATTTAGGGGGAAACTAATGTCTAACCTGCTTCCATCTGGAGCTGACTTTTTTGGGTTTTCTCATCCAACCATCCACAACCTGATCCAGAGCTGTCCAGGAGCTCGAAAATGTGTCAAGTAAGTGTGGTCATATCCAGTCTCTTGAGAAAAGTTCCTTGATCAATGGGCCAGGGACCTAAACTGCTTTGCTCGTTCATACTTACTGAGCTGCTTCTGTGCACAAGGCATGCTTGCTCCTCAACGAGTGTGCCTCAGTATCGGTCCTCTTAGTCCTCTGGACAGGTGAGCAGAAGCCAGTATCCCACTGTACTGTAATTATCATTTTCTGTGTGTACCATGACAGCCAAAGGAAGCCCTGCAGAATAATGTGTCACTAAAGAAGGCTGTCTATCTCTTTGTAGTCTTTTTGTTAGTTAATATGTTTTTAGATGGATATGGGAGATATTTACAGGGAAAAAACCTGATCTCTTTGAGGTAAGAATGGGTTGTAGATACCAGACAGCTCTTGATAATGATTCCTGTTGATCCTGCAGCTACCAATGGGTGAAATTTGATGTGTGCAAACCTGGAGATGGGCAGCTGCCTCAAGGACTTCCGGAGAATGATGCAGCTATAAGCTTCGAAGCCTTTCAGAGACAGACCTTTGACGAAGATCATAATGATCCCATTCTGCAGGGTATCTTTTCATTTTACCTTTCTGGCTTGAAAATTGACCATTTTTAGGCAGCCCTCCCTCTTTATTTATAGCTGAGTACCTCGGATATCTAAGCAGTAAGTGATACAAGCTTTCAACCATGGAGAGTCCTGAGTCAGGAGGACCTGCTGCCCTGTGTAGCTATCCGGCAGTCCTTGCAGAAGTCACAGGCCCTTGGTAAGGCAGGGCCCACTGAGAAACTAGGGCTTCTCATTTTCTATGTCAGACCGAAGCGGAACTGCAGGGGAGAGTTTACTATGCAGGACTAAGATTCCAAGTGAGGTAAAGGAGATCAGGGCATAGCCTTAGTCCTACCTCTGTTCCACGGATTTCCTACCATGAATGGTGGAGTGATCAGAGGATCCGGCACTAGGACCATATAGGAAGATTTCTGGACTAGAAATAAGAAATCAGAATTAAAATTCTCAGTCTTCCCTAATATATATACTACATAACCCTTGGCAAGTCACTTCATCTGTTTCAGCCAGTTTTCTTCATTGTAAAATTAAGTATCTGTCTTATCTTACAAAACAAGGACAAAGTTGGGCTGACAGATGCAAGGGTGTTAAGGAGTTGAAAGAACATATATGTATCTGCTCAGTCTCCCGAGATTCCCAGGCAACACTGGAACTTAAGGAATTTTTTCCCCAGGATCCTTGGACCTCCCAGAGCTTCAGCCTACAGCCTTCGTGTCGTCTTATCAGCCCATGTTCCTGACACATGAACCTTTGGTAGATAATCACCTACAACACTTGAAGTCTCCGTCGCAGTGTAGCCCAGAGCAGTCTTCAGATTGAAGAAGGAATCAGATGCCACATCATTTTCATCAGGATGACTTTTTTTAACTTAAACTGAAACTTAGACTATATGGAAGAAGGCAGTAATTCAGGAGTGAGGAAGATATTAACATTTTGTCATGGAGGTTCCCATGGTGATAGTTTTCCCTAAGAAAAACTTCACCTGCTTTATTTTTAGTAATAAATTTCTCTTGACAGTTCTGCTTATTTTCATCTTGTAATTAGGATATAATCTGTTTTGCTTATCTCTGCCTCTGGTAGAGTAAACTTAAGTCTTTATTAACCAAAGTAAGAGATGACTGCTGACTTATGAAGGAGTTAGAAAGATTCTGACAACCTACCCTTGATTCTGAGCCTACTTCAAGGAATATTAAGTCCCAGCCTCTACTCCAAATGGCTGTTTTATTTTCATGTCAGTATCATCAAAATTAAATTCTGCTCATCACCAAACTGGAGAGTCTAGTCCGAGACACACTTTGTCATTTTCTTCACATTACACATCCTTCAAGGGGATCAAAAGGTCCTCTTTAACCCTTTCTACATCTTTCTGGTTCCTTATTGGAGAATATGCTTTTAGCTAAATACACTGAAAGCACATGATAACACAAAGTTACATTGGATTGGCTCCCATCTCCATAACAGACTCACCTTGTCATTTCATAAACCATGTAACAGCATAACTCCACATTCAATGCGACTGAGTTATCTGGACCCTGTTTGTGGCATTAAGGTGGAGGCTAAAACCGACTGCTCCACAGCAGCTGGTTGGATGGCATCAAGAGCAGCCCAGCAAGGATCCACCCAGGTACCAGAGCTGGAATGGGAATGAACAAAAGGACTCCAGAAGTAGAAGAATGGGGAAAGAATGCTGAGAACTGGATTGTTACTGTGCTACAATTCATAACGGGACAGACGACACAAATGGGATTAGCATTTCATAGGAATGAATCTGGCCAGCAGAGGGAGGGGCCCAGACAGCAGCATTGGGAACATACCATACTGGCCACCATAAAGTATCAGAAACTAAAGTAACATTAATTTTATGACTATAATCTTTTTATAAGTTTGTATAGTTTTTACAGTGCAAACAAAATTTGGATAGTGGTAAATCAAGGGTTGAAAGGGTATTACTCAAAGCTGTTATTTAATTTTTTTTTTTTCTCTATAAGCTGACTGAACATATCTGTACTTATACAGAAATGATATAAGCTGCTTTTATCATATAGTAAATATCCTTCCATTCTATCACAGCTTGAGTAAAACATGAAAATTTTTTAATAAGTTAGTGTGCTGTTTAATGAGTATTCACTTTATAGCTCTCGTAGAATGGAAAGAACCCATTAGATCTTGACTCCTTAAACTTAAGGAGTCAAGATCTACATCTTTAAAATTAAATGAAATAATTAGAACATACTGGAATGCATCGCATGTTGCGAGGTTGAAACTTTGGTTTCAACTATAGTGCGTATATATATATCACATGTATTCGCGTGTATGGGGATAGATGGAATAATGTCAAATGTTTTTCCTGTGAATCATTTTTAAAAATGTGAGAAATAACTGCTATATTATACTTATATCTTTTCATCTGCTGGTTAAAGATTTTTAAAATGTGACAACATCCAGTGTCAATGAGAATGAAGTAAAAAAAATGGGATGTTGAACCCTTTCGGAGGGTTAAGCTGTAGGTATCAAAATTTTAAACACATTTATCTTTAACTTATTCCACATTAAAGACCCTAAGGAAATTAAGTATGGTGTGCTGTTTGCAAGTAACAATGCAGTATTAGTTTAATAGTGAAAAACTGAAAAAAAACTATATATATATACCTCCAATAATGGGAAATTGATTAAAGTATGAGGTTCCCACAAACTGAAACACTAAATCTATATATCAGTTTATACAGGAAAATTATTTTGCTAGCATAAGTCAAAAACAGATTACAAAATAATATACCATGTAGTGTGTAAAATGTAACCCCAACAAATCAAGTGACTGATCACCCAACTATTGAGTGTATCTCCCTAAATGATGAATTTGGGGAAGATTTTTACTTGCTTACACTTTTTGTTAGTGTCCAAATGTTCTACAGTGATTATAAATTTCATTTTTCAAACAGTTATTTCAAAATGTTATTTCATTGGGAAAATAAGCTGACTTCCCACAGAATGTTTTAAATTGTTCAACCATTAAAAAGAAATTAACTTTCACATGACTTTTCATTAAAATATCCACTCCCTAAACCTAACTTCAGATCGTGTGCACTTGGTTATTGGGGATGAAAAGAACCTGGACTTCTTAGCTATCTCTCGTTTAGAAAGTAAAAGTTACAGTAAGCTAAGATTATTTTAGTATTGAAGAAAAATGTTTTTATATAAATTAGTGTAGCCTAAGTATACAGTGATTATAAAGCCTACAGTAGTGCACAGTAATGTCCTAGGCCTTCATAGTCATTCTCCACTCACTCCACTGACTCACCTGGAGCAACTTCCAGTCCTGCAAGCTCCATTCATGCTAGTGCCCTGTACAGGTGTGCCATTTTATTTTTACAGTATTTTTTACCATACCTCTTATATGTTTAGATATACAAATACTATTGTGCTCCAATTGCTTACAGTGTTTAGTGCAGTAACATGCTATACAGGCTTGTAGCCCAGGAGCAATAGGCTATAGCATGCCGCCAAGGTGCAGCAGGTTACACCACTTAGGCTTGTGTAAGTGCACTCACTGTGTGATGCATTTTTCATGCCGCCAAGGTGCAGCAGGTTACACCACTTAGTGTGTAAGTGCACTCACTGTGTGATGCATTTCTCAGAATGTATCCCGGTTAAGCGACGCCTGACTGTATACTTTGATTTCTAACTTCTGATAGACAACACAGTTATTAAGTGCCATTAGCTGTTTTTAATCAACCAATAAACAGCATTATGATTCTTAACAGTACACACAAAAGCCCTCTTTCACATTTGTCTCATCTGGATTATTTTTTAAATGCTTATCGTGTAGCTTTACTCTCAGTCTCACTTTTTTCTTCCATCTGGATTATCCTTTGTATAGTTAAACCTCTTACCTTTAAAGAGCCTGGGATTTATATTTAACTCTTGATGACCTGTTTGCCTCTCAGTGACCTCCACTGTCACATTTTCCTAAGCTTAATCCCTGCCCTCCTGTTACTGGCAGCACGAGTGCCTTCCTGGGTTACCACCTTGCCCTCTTCATCTCTAAGGTGGGCCCTCAGCACCTCCCCAAAGTCCTGCCCATGGTTCTGCTTTGTTGGCTTTCAACATTCATATAATCACTATTTAAGTTGAGAGAGTAGAATTGTTTATAGGGTAGGGCTATCTTTAGTTATGTGAAAGACAGTCATGTAGTGGAAGAAAGATTTCAGTTCCACACAAGGAAAAACCGTTGGGAATTTAGAATGGAAGCTATGCAAAGATTCAACAACCACTTGTCAGATTTTGTAAAAACAAAAAACAAAAACCAAAAAACCACATAAATACTAGCCTACGTGGCCTCAAAAGGTCTTCCAACCCTGTGTTCCACAATTCTGGATGTAAGAAGACAAAGTGTTAGACATTTCACTCCCAATAATGAGGAAGCTCAATTATGAATGACACAGGTTCAATTTGCTTGCAGTTAAGAATGAGTCCAGTACCGACTCCAGCCTAACTAGAGGACAAAAGGCGGGCACTTCGGTGTCTACTGGCCTTGTTCATCTCAGAATATAAAAACAGCCACGTGTGTGCTGGGAGCCGTCCAACAAGGCTTTTCTGTTTATTTCCTTTAAAAGCAACATGTGTTATCATTTAAACTCCTAAATGCCCAAATCCAAAGGTTCTACACTTACGTCTAAGATATGATCAAACTGCAACTAAATCATTTAGCAACTTTGCTGTGGTGTCCAGGCATCTGGTTTGTAATGAAAGCAGTGAAGGGAGGAGCCGGCAGGGTACTGCTGGGGTGGTACAGAGGACACTGTTTATATTCACAAGGCCACGTGGTCCAGGCATAGCGGAGAGCAACCAGAGTGCCTTGACAAGAACTGATATTCAGGGCCAGGATCTGGGTGGAGAAAGTGTTCATGGGAACTGGAAGCCACTTGCACTGATGGTCATCACAACACGAGATCTAATAAGAGAGTCACAAATAAGAAAGGTCAGGTCAAGTAGGATATTCCTAGAGGCTGGGAATTGCTCTTTCAGACTATAATGGAGAAAAGGAGCCACTCTCAGACAAGGAACCGCTTCCTAACAATAACCAGAGCAAATATGAGTCCAGGCTGGGTCTGGTCAACACAGCCACAGGTTGACAGTAAGTGTTCATGTGATGAGATAAATAAACCAATAAATAAGACCTAAATTACTGAGAGAGACAAGGAGGCACAATCACATCCTGCATTTGGGGAATGCTCCCCGAAATCCTTGCTGTCATCCTCCTGCCAAATGGCAAAGCAGGAATCTGAGTGAGCGAAGCAGTCCAACTGCTGCTCCCCTTTGGCACTCCCAAGGAGCTGAGGAATGAAGAAGGGGCACAAAAGGACTTTGGATAATAAGCCTTCTCAAGTCGGAAAGCAACCAGGGAAGGGAACATAAATGATCCAGTACCCAAAGGTTAAATTCTGACCTGACTCCAACTAAGATTGCGGGTCCAGATGATGGACACACTGCCAGCAATTAACTAAAGCAGAGAACACAGAATGCAGAAACTTCTTGGGAGCTAGAATTCACCTAAAACCCAGTGTCCAGAAGCTAATTCCTGCCAAACGCATGAGGCAAGTGGATATTATAGTCAGGATTCAGGAGGAGAAGCTGCCCAGATAAACTCCCATGTGATTAAAGTTTGTCTTAAAAATTCTTTTGTCTCCTCCAGTGCCCTCTTTTTATACACCCCTCACCCCAGCCTAATGGCCTCATGATTCTCATATAAATGTTCCACATGCGAATGCCTCCCCCGACTCCCCAACTACAGAAGACCCCTACAGAACCTCTTTAATAGTCCCAGTTCCACAGTGTGATGATCCTTGGTAGGTACTAGAAGAAAGTAGTTTTATTACATTAATCCACACTAAGTTACAAATCACCAAGCTTAAGACTCAAAGGAGACACTAAACTCAAAAGAATGTCAGAATTTGGGATACTGTGATATAAGAGGCATCCAAGGACAAGGGAAATATTCTGGAACAAGGATCCTTTCAATAGGTAACATAAATAAAACTGCAAGCCCTGCCCAGAGCCAAGACAGTTGCTCTGGGAGGGAAACTACAAAAGGAATATTGTACCAATATGGACGCGTTTTCCCTTCCTTGAGTGTCCTGTTTATCAAAATTGCCTCTAAGCGAATGAATTGACAGCTGCTTATTTGCCCCTCTGAGACAAACTCAGCCCCCACCAACCAAGACCTGCCTCACCATCATGTTACAATCAAAGAGATGGGCTTTGCTGTGGAGGACACCCTGTCTCCCAACACAGGAGGAACCCCTATTGTTTCTGCTCTTCCTCTCACCTCAAATATCTTGTCGTCTTGCCTCTGCACCTGGATTTGCTGGGAATACATGAGGTTGAGCAGCCCCTTGTCAGCCAAGAGCTCTATCTTCTCAGGCAGTGGTCCTTGAAAAATCAGCTGCTTCTCACCATAAGCCACAGCACGGGCCCCCAAGTGCAGCCTATAGGCTACAGTTTGTTTATCTCGAGGGTGAATACTAGAGGATAAACAACAAGTAGAGAATTCTGGGTTTAAGTGCAATAATAACCGCATTTCTAAAAAAGGAAATAAAATATAAAGCATCCTTTAAGAAGGTGAGAATGAAGTTGATGTACTCTAATAGCCAGTGATCAGTGGCTAGTCAGTTAAAGAGAAATAGTGAATGGGGCTCTGGGCCTTCTATGGGTTGGAAACCTTGAAATAATAGATGATTTGGAAGGAAGAAATAAAGAGGGGACAGAGGGTGAGTGGGCATTGGAACTAACCTAGCAGAGCTAACTCCTAAGACTGTTCTAACCAACATATCCTATTTCATCTGAATCAGCTCTTCATTACTTGGTCCCCTCCAGGTTTTATTTATTCATTCAATAAATATTCATTCATTCAAAAAGAAAGAAATACTAGTTCAAGCTCCTACTATAACCCAGACACTGAGTGCTGGGCTGCATTTCACATTTGAAAGCCCCTCATATCCTACAGCTAGCAGGTGGTAGTCATGGGGGCCACTCACAAATACTCCATTGCTCCTTTTCTCAGTCCACCCCTTTTCCTGTTCTCTTTGAAGCTGGGCACGGCTATGTGCCTGCTTTGGACAATGCAATGTGGGCAGAAGTGATTTGTGTTGCTTCCAGGGGGAGCATTTAATTGCCAGTGTGGGACTTTAAGGGGCCCATGGAAGCACAGATCAACTTGGTGCCTCTGTTGACCTCTGGACACGTAGTGTGAACAAAAAATAAATTTTCATTGCATCAAGGCACTGAGATGGTGGGGTTTATTATTATTATTATTATTATTACCGCAGCACATCGCAATATAAATGATTGTAGATAATGCTTCCGAGGTCCAATCCTTATACCACCTACTGTCTACCCCTGCACAAGTGAACATCATAGGGAAGGCCAGAGACAAGGAACATATATTACTGTTATTCAAACAAAGCTCAAGAAGCACCAATACCTGCCAAAAGGTGAGTTCCTGTCACCGAGATCCATAGCGACAGCCATGAAAGTGTTGGGCATCCTTAGGTTGGGGACATAGCCAAAGTCTGCTGTTTGATGCCAACGGATCTGGGGAAGTCGATCATCTGACACTGCACCAGCCAAAACTGAAGACAACTAGAAAGCAGAGAGATTGTTACATCAGAATTTTATTGCATCAGAATCCTATACCAGTCTTTTTCACAAGCAGACCTTGGTTCTGCTGCATTCATTTGTTCAAATGTTCATTCAACAAGTTGTTACTGAGCTTCTCACTCTATGGCAGAATCCCTCTCATCCCACCTGCCACAGTGTAATTCTGCAACCCCTCTCATCACGAGGTGTAGTCTATGTCTCCTCCCATTGAATTGAATCTGGGCTAAATCTGTGATGTTCTCTGACCAGCGGAATGCTCAGAAGTGATGCTGGGCAGCTTCAGAGTCCTTGCCTTAAGATTTCATTCTCCTGGAACCCTGAGATGGCCAGGTTTAAAAAAAAAAAAAAAAAGCAGCTACCCTGCTAGAGGAACGAATCGCAGAGAGGTGCCTTGGAAACTGTAAGCTCATGAGGGAGAGAGGCATTAATGTCCCAGCAATCCCGGCAGAGGGGCCAGTCATGTGAATCCTAGATCCTTCAGTTCAAAATGCAGCCACATGCGCAAGCCCGCTGATACCACATTTAGCAGAGGGAAAGCCATCCCAGCTGAGCCCGCTTGGCCAACCCAGGGTACTATGTGCAAAAACAACGGGGCTGATGTTTTAAGCCACTGGGTTTTGAGGTAGTTTGTTGCAAAGCAATAGGTAATGACATTTGTATACAACACAGGGCTATGCACTGCAGAAAAGCAAAGAGGAATCTGCCCTTGAGTTTGGGTAAATTGCATCAAAGACCCCAATTCTTTATACCTTCCTATATCCACACCCTCTTGCCATATGGCTTTCTGGTTTCTCCCATTAAGAGAAAAAGCATATTTCCGTCACCACTTGATTTGAGCTCAGCCATGTGGTTTGCTTTGGCCAACAGATGAAACAGAAGTTACGGTGTGCAAGTCTTGTCTTAAGTGGCTAAATATGCAGTAATTTGTAATGCAGTAATAGAAAACTAATCTTTAGGGGAAGAACTTTCCGGGCAGAAGGAAAAGGAAATGATGGGCCCCAGGGCGGGATTATACTTAGTGTGCTTAATTAAAGCAAGGCAGTCAGTATGGCTGAAGTGGTGTAAGCAAGGCACAGATAATCAAGAGATGAGTCAGATGGTAACAGAAGCAGAGGCAGACCATGTATGGCTGGTTGTCCTCATAAGAAGGAACCAATGAAGCCCTCTGATATGACGGACACTTCAAAGGATCACTTTAACTGGTATATTGAGACTATCCTAAAGGGGGAGAAAAGATAGAAACAGGAAGACCAGTAAGGAGGCAATAATTCAAGGAACAGGTGACAGTGGCTTGGACTATTGTAGGAGCAGGCAGAATCTGTATACATAGTGAGTAAAGACGATTGGCTTTCATCTAGGCTAAAAGTTGATAGACTCCTATTCCTGCAAAGGACAGAGGCTTCCAGAAAAATTCTTTAATATTACTATGATGCATGTGGTCCTACTATTTCTTCCTTCCTTACTTCTCTGATGTTTATATCACCCTGTTCTCCGATTTAGATGGCACCTTATTCTTAGCCCTAGTTCCAGCCAATGAGAGGCGTTGACTTATAATCTCTTTACAAACCATGCTCTAACAGTAGGTCTAACCACAAACTGGGAAATGGTCTGGGCGAGCAACCTCATTGTCTCCAGACTCCATTCCAAAAGTTCTGTCCCTATCAGAGGAGCTGCATTAGGAACAGACTCTTCTTCCTAGTCATTATTCACACAGCCCAGGAAACACCTGAGATCATCCCTACGCATGTGGCCAAGTGAAGCTTTGAATGCAGGACTTTTCCTGCTTCTTGAGTTGTTCCAGAAAGACTAGAAAATCATCAGAAAAACACTGAAGAGGCTGCAGTAGTAGCAGAAAGGATATGGAACTAACATAATAGTATAATATGGAATGTAGGGGCTATTTCCAATTCTCTTATTAAAATCTCTTGTGCAAATTGCCTTTAATCTATGAAATGATGAGACTCTCGTGAAAACGAGAAAACGGGATAGAAAATTCTGTGAATCACTCCATTTGCTCCTTCATGACACCCAAAAGACTGAAAGTGGAACCATGTTCACCAGTCAGTGCCACGCTAAGAATCGTAGCAACAAAGCTACCAGAAAGATCTAGGATAAGTACAAGCCTGAAGCGCAACCAGGAGAAACGCTAACAACAACCACTCAAGCCAAGAAGTTTTCTCAAAATGGCAGTTTGCTGAGAATTCCTGCAGCACTTCTCCATTCCATTTCACTGGTTGCATTACTACATACTGGCCACATGGGGGCACCAGCATACTCTTCAACCAAATGCATTCCTGTGTTTTTCTGAGCTATAGCAGGGGTGCTGTTCAGTCCCCCACGGTGATTAGTAGAAATATTTCTACTAATGAAGGCATATAATAGCCAAAGAAGGTGACCACCTTCAGAGGATTTTACAAATAACACACTGTATTTTGCAGTCTGTTCCACTGGTCCTCTAAATCCCTTCTAAGAAAGCACAGTCCTAGGGACTCCAGTCTCCTGCTCTCTTTTCCCCTCATGTTTTAAGTTACCTCTCTACAAATAACTCAAACACATGTGTCAGGCCCTGGTCTCTTCACTGAGCTGGAATCCTTCATCTCTGTGCTCCTACCGCAACCATCATTTCAAACCCAACACTTCTCTAAAGCCAATTCATCTTTCCTTACAGACCAACTGTCCCTCCGGATTTTCTGACTTCTCTCACTAGTAATAACAAACATTATCTGGCATGTGCCAGGCTTTACATGGATTAACTCATTTAATACTTAAAATAACAAAGAGGTTCGATATCCTGTTCAAAATCACAGAACTAAAGAAGTGTCAGAGCTGGGAAGTGAATCCAGGCAGACGAGTTCCAGATCCATGCTCTGAACCATTACATAGTCATGTTTGATATCTCCTTTGAAGGTAGATGTCAATAGTCCCGGTTTCCACAAGTAACAAACATATTTTTGATGCTGTAGAGTTAAAGCCCTGAGGCTAAGCGCCTTCTACTAAACTGTATGGCCTAAGTGCAAGGACCAGGTCTCTGATTCATGCCGTGATGCTAGCACCTCACACAGTTCATGGCATATACATATAATAAGCATTCGGCACATACTTCTGGTTTGAATTGCTGAAGTCACATTCAAAACACCATGTACACAGGCCAAGAGACAAAAAAAGTACCTCAAAATCAAAACGTCGTTTCCACCAACAGTTACACAGAGCTGGTGACAGGAGTTGCTATTTTGATAATAACGAGCAGAATAATCTTGTTTCAAAGTCAAAATAAATATAAGAAAGAAAATGATTGTAAAGTAATTATAAGTGCAAAGAGTGTCTATAAAAATCTCTACCCAAAAATAGTATGGTAAAGTAGGACAAGGTAGAGGAGATGGGTGGGTGGTGGGAAGAAGGAATCCACGGACATTCAGAGGTAGCTGTCTGGAAGTATCACGCCCAAGTCAAATATTAAGCCCATTCCACTACGTTATGAGTTGGGCCTTGTTTTTATAACACCTTACTTGTTTAATTTCCTATGTTCCATAAAAGTCAGAACTACCATCTTACTAAAAAGACTAGGTCTTGGAGGGGTCATGAACAGGTGAGGCAAGGTAATTATAAACTTCATTAAATATGTTTATTCTTTTTAGGCAAGGCTGCGAATGGAATCTTTCCGACGTTACCGCTAATTAAAAGTATGGTTTTTCTTCGTATATTTTTTTATTCATGTGTTAGGCCATATATATAATACACGCCAACTAATTAGGTACTGGGGATATAAAAATATGGTCATGTATTCCTAACCCAGGCTTTGGATAGTCACAGAAGGCTTCCTAACACATCCAGACTTAGACCTAAAGGATGCTTAAAGTAGCTAGGAAAGTATGGGATTGAAAGATTGTTCCAGGCAAAGAGCATGCACAATGGGCTGGGAGTGACACAGAACAAGGCTCATTCTAAGGAGTGGCAAGGATAACACCAAGTTAGGGACGGTGTGGGGAAGTGGACAGTCTCACATATCATTGCTAAGAGTATACGTTTATACAAATTCATACATTTCTACAGAGAAACTGGATAATATGTTCAAAGCCTTAAAAAGTATTTAATTTAACTTAGCAATTTCATTTCTGGGAATTTATCTCATGGAAATAATTAAGCATGTACATAATGATTTAGCTACAAGAAATATAAACATGCTACTGCTTATAAAAGCAAAATGTTTAAAACAACCATCTATTGAAGACTTGTGAGATAAATCATAATACAACCATACCTCAGAATACTCTGCAATCATTATGAATTGTGCCTAAGATTAATATTTATTGGTATGAAAAAATGTTCACAATAAGACATTATGAGAAAAGCAAAATATGATATAATACTATGGTACAGATCCTATTTCAAAAAATACCTGAGCCGAAAAGTCTGCTATTTCTGGATTGTGGAATTACATGTTTTTAGCTTCTTTTTTTGCATATCTTTTAAATATTTCTTTAATGAACATGTAATGCTTTTTAATAAGAAGAAATATTAATTATCCCATCAGCGAACTGAGATGAATTAAGTCTTACATTCAGTTCTTGACCAGCTGGCTATGAGGACAAAAAAAAAGGAATGTGCATTTCAGGAAAGAGATCTCAACAGCACATCCCCACGCCGAGGCCCATACACCCTCTTCGCCTCAACACTTACCTGAACAAATCCAAACGGGAAGAGCCGCTCTGTCTGCCCCTGGGAGCCACGGTGGAAGGTTTGGCGCCAGTCTTCAATGAGCGCAGGGAATGTGCAATTGTACAGGTCCCTGTTAAAATTTACATTGGACTCCCCTGAAAACAGTCCAGGTTGTGAGAGGAGTTTGGGGTAGATGCAAAAATGGCCACACATTACTTCCCAACCTCTATCCAGGCCCTTACGAGTGGGCCTTCCTGTAGTCTCTCTGGATTGGCCTTGTGACTTGCTCAAGCCAATAGGGCATCAGCAAATGTGATGTAAGCAGAGGCTTGAAAAGTGCTTCAGTTCGGGGATTTGCTCTCTCTTGATACACGTGGAGCCCTGAAACTGTTATGTAAATAAGTGAATCTGAGCTAGCCTGCTGAAGGATGGGAGGCCACATGGGAACCACGATACGCCAGCAGATGGATAGCTCCCAGTCAACACACATGAGGGAGAGAACATCCTAGGTCATACAGCCATCAGACAAACTGCCGGGTAGCCAAAAACACCTAAGAGATCCCAGCAGAAATTAGCTGAAGCAGCCCAAAGAGAAAAACTATCTTGCTATCCCACAGAATAGTGAACTAAGTAAAATTATTTTTGTTTTATGTCACTAAATTCTAGGATGGTTTGTTATACAGCAAAGCTAACTGATACGATGGAGAAACAGCAAATTGAAAACTCACCCTGGTACCATATCACACCTTTCAGAGTCATATTACTTAGTGGATGAATCATGGCATTCCAAAGAACAGAGTATTCACTGGGACCGGTTACGGAATCAGACGGAATGAACCTGAAATCAATAAGAAGCACAAGTGTCACAAGAGAGCTAGTAATTGATCACATTATGATCCCTAAGCTGGACGTCTATCCAGCTTTCACTTGGGGCAAACTTCCAACGAAAGCAACACAGAATTAAATTGAACCACTCTGTTTCACATGCAAACATGTGAACACTCTCTGAATTTCCCCTCCAGGTTCTTCCCAGGATAAGCGTATTCGTTTTCTGTGAGTTCGGAGTGGGCCATCCCAGTTTCCAGATAAGGTCATTAAAACCAGAGAGAAGGAATGTTTTATTATGAGTCTCTCACACAGGCAATAAATTTATTTTACTAGTATTCAATGGATAGACACAAGATTGTTTTAGGCTTTTTGATTAATAAGCAATAGGATGATTCTCTTTCTTATAGCTTAATCATTGTATAGTGGTGTAAGTGTTTCCTTAAGATAAATTCAGAAATGAAATTGCTGGGTCAGAAGGAACCTTTTTTAAGGCTTTGAACATGTTCCTAAATTTCTCTGTAGAATACTTGTATGAATTTATACTCACAGCAGCTGTGTAAGAGAACGCCCACTTCCCCAAACCCTTGGAATTGTCCCTTCCATGTCCTCTGAGATCTGGGAAGCCTGGTTTCAGATTCCTCCTATTCTACCACAGGCGTCTTTCTGTTCCAAAGTTGAATGTTATAACTCTCCCAACCTATACCAAGAGCTCAAGTCCACCCTCTTCCCAGAACCGATGAGACAAGGTCTGTGAAAGCAGTTCATATATTGTTAATCTGTTAGTATTAGTAACAAGACTTTATTAACTAGCCCTTTTCCACACCCCACCTCCGCCACCAAGGAGTCTTCCTGATCCAGCTTTTCTTAAGTATGCTTTCATAATCAGTATACTATATATTTCTTTGATTACATGTATATTTGTTCTTCCTGTTAGACTGTTTATTCTTAAAGGCAATACAGCACAGTGGTTAAGAACACAGGCATTAAAGTCAGACTTTGCCACTTACTAGTGTGTCCATGGGCAAGTTACTAAACCTCTCTTAGACGTAGTATCTTTAGCCACAGTATATATGTTAAGAGCATCTACATTCCAAGAGGTTGCTGTGAGTACTAAATGAATTAATATAAACTGCTTAAAACATTTTCCAGCATAGAGCTTCCAGTAAGTATTAGCTACTATTATTATTAAGAATAAGAATCGCAATTGCTTCATGACATATTCTCAGATGACTGTGGTGGTGACGACAGTAAAAATAATACCTTACCTATGCCTGGAATAAGTTAATACATTTTGAGACATTCAACACATAGTTGACTCCCCAAAGGAGACCAGGACTCTTCTCCCTTATATAATGTTCTGGTAGGCTTTCTTTTGGACTGGAGGATACTTTCTTACCCTTGCCTATGAACCCCACAGGCTTTCAGCGATCTTCCAGATGACCAGGCTTCAATGGGTGTCCCACCCCACGAGGAGGAGATCAGCCCGATGGGATACCGCAGAGTGTCATAGAGGTAACGCCCGAAGAGCCAGCACACCGCTGACATGTACTCAAATTTTCCTTGGCCTAAGTTTTCTGTTTAGAGAAACAGTTGAAGAAAAAGAGTCAGGGAAAAAGTAGATGGATACGAACTACAGGTACGAGATTGGTTTAGGTGAGAAGAATGGGTGTGGGTCATCTTTCGGTTCCTTTATAAGACTCCAAAAGTAGGATGAGATTGAGAAGCAACTGTCTCATTAGCAGAGAGTCAAAGCTCCCTAGTCAGGCAAGTGGGGCTCCTCCCCTGCTCCCCCACCACTTACAGGTTCCTCAGAATCTAGGAATAGTTAAGTTCTCCTCAACAGGGGAGGGGCAGAAAGGCCACTGGGCCCCCATACTACCTCGCCTACACTTCTCCTCTTATATCCCCGTTCATCCCCACTTAGCTCTGCAGAAGGGAATAAGCAAGGAGGGAACGTGTCGAGAAGAAATGTGTTTTTTTTTCTGCGTAGTTTTATATCCATTTTTACAGCTGCGCTAATGAAAACATGGACAAATAAGTGATAGGATGTTTGGCCAAAAGGGAAAGGAACAAAAACGAGAACCAATGTTTAAATTTTCAGTATAGTCTAGCTCATCTGTCCATTCAGCCCAGTAACTGACACAGACCACCAGACCAGAACAGGAAATTTCCACATTAGAAGAAAGCTGATGAAGAGGGGAACATGCACACACACAATTGATAGGATCATTCAGCTTAATATTTATTAAAGAACTACTATGTATAAGTCATTGGCTTGGCACTTGATCCAGATTCAAGACAGTTCTGGCGCTCAAAAAGCTGATAGTGTAATAGTGGGATTTCAAATCCATTTCAAATCAATTAAAATTGATTAAACACCTATTAGGAGCCAGGCACTTCTAGATGGTAGGGATACAGTAAAGAGATATGGAGAAATATGGAACCTCTCCTCATAGGTCTTATATTTAATGAAATATATGGTAAAATACGGTTAAGTGCCTCAAGAGGTAAAAACATGTGTTAAGGGGTTGAAACTGCAAAAGAATATTAGATGAAAGGCAGATCATAAAAAGCCTAATGTATACTGACTTCCTCCCCAGTGCTTCCATGATACTCCACACATAATGTTTCCCTTAACCCACTGCACTATTAGCTACTTCAAAGCAAGGACTTCATCCTATTCAGTGCCTGGAACCTAACAGAGAGCCAGTAGATGCTCGCTGGCTGCTGTTGAGTGGCTATAGGTGGCTGGTATAAAGCTGGATTCACTGATGGGCAGGTAGAGAGAAAAGGTAAGTAACAGGGAAGATAAGGGAGGAGGGGAGGCCTTGAAGGATAGACAGGAGTTTAATAAGCAGAGCTGGCATTCTAGGCAAAAGAAACAATATATAAAAAGGCACAGAGGATAGAAAAAATTTTGAAAATGTTTGACCGAAGCATAAGTTACAAAAGGAAGATAAGACTGGAGGGGAGGCTAGAGTCACACTAGGGAGTAAAGAAGATGGAAAGCCACTTGAAAATGCTTGAGAATGAGATGATGTGTAGGCAGAACAGCTCTCCAGAGATGTCCACATCCTACTATCTATAATCTGTAAATATGTTATCTTTCATGGCTAAAAGGACTTTGTAGATGTGATTGGGGTTGAGGACCTTGAGACAGGAGATGGTCCTGAATTATCCAGGTGGGCCCAATCTAATTATGAGTCCTTAAAATCAGGGAACCTTCCCGGCTGCAAGCAGAGAGATGTGACGACAGAAGGGGCAGCAGAGACTGCCTGTGAACTGTGAGAGACTTGGCCTACTGTGTTCTTCCCCACATACCTGCACTACCTCACCTCTTACAGGTTCTTACTAAAACGTTGCCTTTCTCATTGGGACCTCCATGGCCACTCCAAGCTGGAAACCACTATCCATCCCTGTCATAAGGGTCCCTAGTGCCCCCTCTCCTTGCCTCATATATTTTATTCATTTTGTCTCATTAGCATTCATCACCAATCTAACCTATTCCTTATACTCCCAAATTCATTTGGTTTCTGAGTTCAGAGAGTGAAAGCGAGCTGATAGCAAGGTAAAAATAAACACATTATCCAAATCTAATTGATTCCCGAGTTTTAGATAACATGTAGTGAGAGTTCATAGACCAAAAGATTCATCCAAAAATTTTTCCAAAATAAATTTAGTTCCTAAGTTCTTATAGGGAGAGTTCAGATATGGTGATACTGAAGAGTATCAGATACTTCGTATATAACTTAATGATTTTATTATTCGTTTTCTGTATTCCCTTGCAAGCTCCATGAGATCAGGTGTTCTTGCTGGATTTATTCATTGCTATACCCCTAGCACTGAGACCAGTGCCTAGCACATAGAAGGCACTGAAACATTTGTTAAATGAATTCATATTTGAAAATGTAGGAGCAACTGGGGTTACCAAGGTAAAGCACGTACAGATCAAAATGAAAAGGGACTAGAAAGAGCACAAGGGACCACATTTGGTGGAAGGGACTGAAGAAAGCAAAGACATGGGCAGGGGGCAGACAGAAGAGGAGACTAGGGAAAAGAAGTACCACGCAAGCGAAGAAGAATGCGCGGTTCCTAAAAGGGCTGGTTGGCAGCGTCGAACGCTGCAGAGGCATCTAGAGTGTGAAATTAGAACAACAGTAGTCATCCTGAGGTGAACAAGTTGTTGAAATGGAAGCAGAAGACAGATTATAAAGGGTTAAAGAGTGAAGACACAGAAAGGCAGTGAAAAGAATGAAAACGAAAGATGGTCTAGAAAGGTTTAAGCAACCAAAGAGGAAAGTTAAGGCCTTGTGAGAAGGGTGTTATGTTTAGTTTTGCATTGTTTCGTTATAATAAAAAAAAAAAAAAAAGCTAAACTCTGAGAGTAGAGACCGTGTCTGTCTTGTCCAGTGCTATCTCCTTGGAGCCTAGCACAGAGCTGCACTGCAGAGGCAGGAAATAAAGATTTCCTGTTGAATGGGTGGTGGGTTGAAAGAACAGAGCCTGAGGGACAAACGAAGGCCCTGGAGGAAGTAAGAGCCTGCATCAGAGGTAGCCATGAGAGGACACCAGTCAGTTGTGTTCAGACACGGGAACAACGGAAGAAAGAACAAGAGAACAGAGAATCGAGGTGTTGAAGAGAAATGCTGGCAGAGTTCACGCTGAATGGCTTCAATGTATTTAGTGAAGCCAAAAGAAGAGTCGTCTGCTCATAGCAAGGAGGAAGACTAACTGGTGTTGTCCTGGGAATAAATTTATGGAATAGCTACCTTCAGGAATGGGGTGGAGAGTCAATAAAATATGAAAAAAAGATAGTTGAATTCTAATAGATAAGAACCAAATTCAGGATTTCAGATTCCACCTAAGGCACTAATTCTCTACATAAGAGATGGCACATGCTCCAGCAGTCACTTACCTGAGGTGGGCTTAGACCACTTCAAGTCAACCCCAGCAAGGTCCTCCAGCTCCTGTTCTGCCTGGATGAGAGACACGGAGAGGATGCGGACAGACTGATAGGCAGTGGTGTTAGACAGCTCACTTGTAGCATTAAATATCTAGAAAAGAAAGAGGGATATCATTTCTTATACCAAACTGGCTGGTAGGTAGTTAGTTACCTATCCTACTGCCTTTTAAACACTACCAACCCTTTGAGCTCCTGAGGTTTCAACATGCCAAGATCAAATGGATAACCAAAACTAGTGATGGGCTGGTGTGAGTCAACTTGATCCACCTTGACCAACAGAGACCGTGATGAACCATGTCCTCAGAGAAGGCAGTAATGCAATGGAACCTGATATCTCAAGCTGCAAATATGTATCAGATGAGAGGAGCTATGGGGTGGTTTCGGCTAAAGATCAACTCTCAATCAGATCACTGCGGTATCTTGGAACAAAAATACTTCTATTCAGAAAAAAATATCTGATAATATAAAGCCATGGCACTGACTTCTTTTAAAAGTGGAGTCCAAAGGCCGTGTGTGTGTATGTGTGAGTGTAGGCGGGGGCGGTGGAGAGGGGGTTGGTTAGATCTGTGTAATCCATACCACATAGGAAAAGAGTATTCAAAAGCAACATGATCTTTGGAACTACTAAAACATATTGAAATCAGTCTCGAAATGTTTACGTTCTCACCTGGGTCCCAGCAAATCACCAAAGCAAAGCTTGGGAGACATGGCAATTTGAAAGGCAGCATTTAGGGTGGCTGCTGAGAAAAGCCTCAAGAAACTAGACAAAGAAAAGGATCTATTCAAAGACATATCACTTTTTCCCAAATCACTTTATTAACCCTTGTCCATTTCCCAGAGTATGACAGGAAGGGCCTGGGGTTTTGATGAACAAGAATGTATATACTCTACTAAGCAGATTCTCTGTTGGTCCTATTGAGCATCGTTCCTCTATGAGTTTACAAATAAGTTCCACTTCCTTTAATTCTGATTTTTTAGTTACTTTTTTATTTTAAAAAGAAGATATCACAAATATATTGTTTTTACTTTATTTGTTTTGTCTTCTCTCTATCTCCCTGGATTATTGTGGTTTTCTCAGAACAAAGGGCTAACAGGAGCATCAGGAAGACCAGTTATCACTGGCCTCAGGGAACAAGCGCTCCAGCTGAGGCAGGACTGCTGGGCGAGATACACAGGAGGCTGGATACCTTCCATTGGAGGCTAGCCGCAGAGTGAGCAGCTGGCTCCCTTTCCCTCCCGCCCACCACAGAGAATACAGCTGGCCCTCCAGCCCACAGTGTAAGAGAAATGGTGGAGCAGCCAGAAGGCCCCCACAGAGCATTTCATTGAAACCAGGCTGCCCCCTGAATCACCTCTTGACTTGCCACCGAGCCTGCTGTGGCCAATAAGATAGCCAGATGCAAATAACTGGCTCTTTTGGTCACAATGGGAGCCACAGTCTGAAATGCTCCCTGGGCTGCAGCAGCTCTAGCCTGTCAGGGTTACTTGTCTTCCCACTATCAGGGCACAGATTACATACGGTCTCAAAAAATTCCACTGGAAATCCAGATCTGTTTGTTCAGGATCTTGCCTGGCAAGTTTAATGTAAAATAAACATTAAAGAGTAAGAACAGGCTAATGCACTCACAGTATTTTCTGGCAGGGAAATTATTTTTCAGCACCAAGTACCTGTAAAGAGTTGCCTCCCCTGAAGTTGAGTTCTTCACTAAGCGCTAAGGATCGTCTGTTGCTTCCATGGAAACGGTGGATGGAACTGCTTCCATTCTCTCCACCCACACTAGCTTCCGTACTGACTGGGAACTCAAGTGTCTCATCGCATGAGATGCCAGCTTGGGGCGGCAGCATGGGTGAACACGCTACTTGTCTTTTAGACCCGCCGCGAACACTGTAGAGTACTGCAAGGCCAACAGAGTCGGGGTGGTTGGCGTTCTTTTATATTGTTACGGCTTACAGAACTGGATCCAAAAACATTGGCTGAAAAACTTCCATTTTCAAACTCACATTTGAGTATTATTTCAAGTCAAAACTTGAAAGCCACAGAAAGTGTTAACAAAAAATGGGGGTGGAGAAAATTCTCGCTGAACCCGACAATTCTGAAATTAGTAGCCTTTTACCAGTATCGCCAAGCCTTTCCGATGGAAGCATTCCTTGGGGATATTGGCAGCAAACTTAGGAATAAAGAGATTTCAGGAAGATTTTCATTTAAATGACACTTGGTTTCCCTGCTGATGAAAGGGGAAGGCTTACTCCATCTGCTGAGATCAAATTTCATCTCATCAAACACCTCAGTGTAATTATTTTTCTACCAAGTATTTAAATGAGGATGTAAATGAATACCGAGGTATTGGAAGTCATTAAGGCTGCTGTGGCTGAGAGGAAGCACCGCTGCCTCCCTTGGGACCCGCGGTTCGCCATCAAAGCAGCTGCTCACCGGTGTTCATTTTGTAACCTTTATACCACATTCTTAAATTAATGAAGAAACGTCAAGAATCTATTTCCTCAGAGAATCTTAGCATGGGGTCTGCACAGGGAGCAAGGCCTGTGTATGAGAGTATGAGAGCATGTGTGTGTGTGTGTGTGTGTGTGTGTGTGTGTGTGTGTGTACATGCGCACATGCACATACGCACACTAAAGGACATAGAAAAACTTAAAAGAATTAGGATTCTGTAAGTTATTTTACCTTCTATTACAGTATAATATAGCAGTTTTAAAGTTGAGGGGATAACTATAAATAAGCCATCCACCCATAACTCCCATGAATCGTTTACTGTACTACCAAACCTTCTCTTCTGGATTTTAATATCTCTACTTGTAAAGTAGGAATGTGAAGATTGCCAAGATATTGAAAAATGGGTTTCCTGTCTAACACTGGCCATCTTCTTCTGAGCTTAACTAGAAATAACCAATTCTTAAGACCTACCCTGTCTTAGGAGGCGACAGATGAACATTTAGACTTTTCTCCATTTATAAACATCTCACTCAGTGTTATAAATAACACTCAATTTTAAAATTCCACTTTACCCTAACGACAAGATGGGCATACAATCTGCCATTTCCTTCATTTGAATGTGAAGAGTGGTAGGTTATAGTGGAAATCTTATCTCCTCAGAAAAGTCACATGCGGGGGGGGCGGGGAAGAGAAGCTGAGTGTATGTGTGGTGGGGGAAGTCTTTAGGGGAAAAGGAGCAAAAGGAAAAACAGAGGAGTCACATACAGCACCCTCTGATCAAAAATAAAGTTCTATAGAATGTTAAGAAACTAGAAAACTTGGCTTTTAGTAGTCAGCACTTAAAATGCTGTCATACAAACTAAGTGCATGATTTAGAACCAAAAAATAAAAAAATTAACACTTGGCTGTGTCAGATGGAATCTTTTTTCTATTTCTCTATATCTCATGCAGCTTTGTTTAATACAGAAGATGCTAAAGAGTAAATTCTAGGCAGAAAGAATGTGTTCACTCTTAACAATCAAAATCTGCTTTCGCTTGACAGAAAATGGGATAAGATCCACTGGCATAGATTGCTATTGAGAACCTGACTGTGTAAATACAAATAGATCTGGTCCATGCCTTTCTGTGCAAACAGAGAAGTGCAATTAAAGCATTAGGAAAGTACTGTTTTCCTTAATGAGTTAACAGCAATCCCACTTCTATACAAAACCATGCTTTCTATCAAGAGCTAAAACTTCAATTTTGCTTCCATTTGCTTATGTTAAAAGGGAGCCCAGTTAAAGTTCACTTTAATAAACATTTAAATTCAAAAGGTTTCCATATAATTAAATAGGGCAGGAAGCAAGAGTAAATAAAACACTGGTTAGGAAACCATAAATGCAAGAATTTAGATTTTGAATTAGAAAACTAATATTGAAATGAAGTAGATACCTTCAGAGTAGAATCTTTTTAGCAGCATTATTTAGTAATCAGTTAGAAAAAACTATAAGGGGTAGAAGCAATAGAAGCAGAATAAGAAACTATAAAGTATGTGAAAGACTCAATTTCATAAATTTTTTTAAAAAAGAAATTGAGATTATGGTCTAGTTGTAGAGATTTTTAAATCTCAAATTTAAGTATTTCTCAAAGACAGAGAAATAGATAATGAAAGAAAGACAGGAAAATAAAAATCAACTTGAGAAGAAATTGAATTATAGAGAAAGAGCTAGGGAGGAGAATAATCTTTTCAAGTTCTTAACCAGTTAACCAGAGAACAAATCAAAGTACACAGAATATATTAATGCCAATCCATAATGCAAATTATTAATTCCTAAGATACTCATTTATATTCTTACCACTTTATATGCCACTTTATTTTAAGCTGACCTTTGATAGCTACTTAAGAGATTAGTTAAGTCAATGCCAATTTCCTGTTTTTAAAATTTTCTTTTAAAAATTATAGTTATTTCATGCCCACTATAAAAAAAAATCAGAAAATACAGGTAAGCAATGAAAACCAATCCCAATTTCAAATGGGCCTAAGAGCTTATGTCGTGCTAATTTCTCTGGCACTCTGATACTGATTGAAAATATTTACTGATCTTTCAGAAATATTTTAAGCTGATAGAGTTTAAGTATGTCTATGAACTAGCTATTACACTGTGCAGCCCCGATCCTAATTTAAATGAAAAAACAATGGTCTACCTTACTTTTATTTTTAAATCAGATAGCTGCCACTAAACAAACACGGCAGTGATGATTGTGAGGCCCAAAGTACTAACCCCATCATACCTTATCTAGAAATCGACTCTCTTTATTCTAGACTGTTTTTGTGTTAATTAGAAAGTAGAGTTTATCCTGGAAAGAAATTTGAGCGCTAGAGCTATACAAAGCACCACGGCTTTTGTTCTACTATGGCTGCCTTGCTAAAATACCAAACTATTAAGAGGCTTGCTAAAGAGACCTCACTCACAGCTTATAAGAGGGGCCCTATCTATCCTCTAACAGCAATAGAGACAGGAGTACTTCGAGGTGAGTTTCATCACTGACCAAGATTTCGGCAAGTCAGCATTCTCCCGATCTGTCCCGCCTGATTCTCCATGTATTGTATATGCCCCATCCCTACTTAGGAGCATACATAGTGAGTGCTCTTGCTCCCGACACTCCAGCAGGGAGAAAAGAGTCCAGTGACGCCCTTCCATATTTATTATAAAGGAGAAAAAAATACTAGGTTCTCAAAATTTAAGAACAGTCAATTTTCAAAGGTAATGACTATAATAGAGAAAAAATAATGGACACAACTAAAAAATCATAGGCAATGAAAAAGTTGAGCAAAAAAAAAAGTCATCACTGGCCTATTAGTTATTCTGTGTAAAAATATATATATACACGTATTAATTTGGTATATGAATATTTATATATCAATTTGATGTATGACATCTAATTGAAGTATTAAGATGTCTGCAGCTTACCTTGAGATAGTTCACCCCCCCAAAAAAAAAAGTTAAGTCAAATGTGGCAAAATATTAACAACTATCAATCTAGGTGATGGGTATATAGGTGTTTATAAGTTTCTTAACTTTTATGTGTGTTTGAAATTTTTTATAATGAAATATTGAAAAAATAATGACTTATATCTAGACAGCAATTTTCAATTTATAGGGGCCTTTTACAAACAAAATAATTTGCTCTTCCATAATGGCCTTGTATATGTTAGGTCAAATATAATCACTGTGTCATAAAAACTAAGCCTCAGACATGTAACAAAATTCAATATACTTTCATGATAAAAACTCTCAACTAGAAATAGAGGAAAAATTCCTCAATTATAAAAGGCATTTATGAAAAGCCCACAGATAACATCATCCTCAGCAGTTAAAAACTGAAAGCTTTCCCCTTGAGACCAGGAACAACACACAAGGATATCTGCTCTCCCCACTGCTATGCATCACGGTACTGGAAGTTCAAGCCGGAGCTATTAGACAAGAAAAAAGAAATAATATGCATCCAGATTGGAAAAAAAAAATGGTAAAACTATCTCTTTCCACAGATGATATGCTTCTATACATGGAAATTCCCAAAGAAACCCCCCCAAAGCTACTAGAGCTATTAAATGAATTCAGCAAAGTTTCAGGGTACAAGATCAACATGCAAAAATTATTTGTTTCTTTATACCAGCGATGTACAATCCTAAGAGGAAATTAAGAAAGAAATCCCATTTATAATAGCATCTAAAAGAATTAAATACTTGGAAATAAATTGAGCCAAGGAGGTAAAAGACTTGTACACCGGAAAACTATAAAATATTGCTGAAAAATATTAAAGATCTAAATTAATTGAAAGACATCCCATGTTCATAATAGGGATTCAAATGTCAGTACTATCCAAAGCAATCTACAGATTCAAACACAATACCTTTTAAAATTTCAACAGCCTTTTTTTCAAAAATGAAAAAGCATATCCTCGCATTCATAAGGAATTGCAAAGGGCCATGATGTCAGCCAAAACAATCTTGAAAAAGAAGAATGAAGCTGGAGGACTCACGCTCAATTTTGAAACTTACTACAAAACTATAGTAATTAAAACAGTATGGTACTGGCATAAGGAGAGACATATAAACCAACAGAATAAAATAGAAAGCCCAGAAACAAACCCTCATATACACAGTTACTGATTACTAAAAAGCGTGCCAAGACCACTCAATGGGGAAAGGACAGTCTTTTCAATAAACAGTGCTAGGAGAATGGGATATCCACTTACAAAAAAATGAAGTTAGATCCTCACCTTACACCATATACCAAAATTGACTCAAAAGGATCAAAGACCTAAACTTAAGAGCTAAAACTATAAAGCTTTGGGAAAAATCTTCATGACACCAAATCCGGCAACAATTTCATGAATATGACACCGAAAGCACAGACAACAAAAGACAAAATACATCAATTGGACTTCATCAAAATAAAAAACTTTTGTGTATCAATAGACACCATCAAGAATGTGAAATGACAACCTACAGAATAGGAGAAAATATTTTCAAATCATATATCTGACAAGTGATTAGTACTTAAAATATGTAAAGAATTCCTACAATTTAACAACAAATAACCCAAATCAAAAACGGGCAAAGGACTTGAATAGATATTTCTCCAAAGAAATTTTACAAATGGCCAATAAGCATATGAAATAATACTCAACATTAGTCTTTAGGGAAATGCAAATCAAAACCACAATGAGATACCACTTCACACACACTAATATGGCTAAAATAAAATTTTAAAAAAGTGAAAGTGACATACGTTAGTGAAGATGTAGAGAAATTGGAACCTTTGCATATTGCTGGTTGGAATGTAAAAGTGTAGAGCCACTGTGGAAAATGGTTTGGTGGTTCCTGGAAAGTTAAACATTGAACTAACAGATGACCCAGCAATTCCATTCATAGGTATATATCCAAAAGAATTGAAAGCAGGGACCAGAACAGATCTGCATACCAATGTTCATAACAGCACTATTTACAATAGCCAAGAGGTAGAAATAACCCAGATGTCCATCAACAGATGAATGGATAAACAAAATGTAGCATATACAGTAGAATTCAGCCATAAAAAGAAATAAAATTTTGTTATGCGCTACAACACGCTTGAAAACATCATGCTTAATAAGGTAAGTCAGACACAAAAGGACATATATGATTTCACTTATATGAGGGACCTAGAATGAGCAAATTAGTAGAAAGAAAGCAGAGAGGTTACCAGAGGCTGGAGGACAGAAAAAAGGGGATGTTACTGCTTAACAGCTATAGCGTTTATGCTGGGAATGATGGAAAAGTTTTGAGTATAGATAGGGTGATGGGTACACAAAGCATTATGAATATATTTAATGCCACTGACCTGTACACTTACCAATGGTTAAAATATTATATTCACTTAAACACTATTTTTTTTAAAAAGGGTGTTTTAAAAACAAAATTTCAAAAATATCAAGTGATTTGCCATACCCTCGTAAAATGCAAAGTCAACACCCAGTCTCAATTTTTCAATCTCCAAGACAACAAAAAACATATAGAATATTAGCTGCTCAGCATTAAAACAGAATTGAATTGCTTTGATTTCCTAGGCTCTCTCCTGAAGCTCAACGTCTAAGACCAATCCAAAAGAAGAGTTATCTACTTTGTCTTCAATTTGTTATGAAATCTCCATTACCATAGGATACACTCCCGCTTCTGCCTTTAGCTTAGCCCAGGAAGGTGAGAAAAGAATGCCTGGCACACGAACAGCACATTCGCCGTGATTAAGAAAGCAGGCTGTGGAGTCGCATTACCAGTTCCTATCCTGGCTCCACTATTAACTATGACCTTAGTCAAGTTATTTAACCTCAGTGGGCCAGTTTCCTAATCTGTGAGATGTGAGTGACAGTACATACTTCATAAAGTTGTTAAATCAAATTAACTAATATGTGAAAAGCACTTAGAACAGATCTTGGCACATGGTAAAAAAGGTTTCTATCTCCTTCTCTTCCTTGTGCCTTCCTCCTCCTTCTCTTCTTCTTCATCATCAACATTATTATTATCAATGAGACTCTGCAAATTACCTGTAAAACCGTCATGTGCATGTTACTTTGCCCACTGCAAAGCCAGACATCTCCAAATAAGACATCATGAACTCTCAGGGTTAAGTTCATTCTCCCAAATGTCTGTTGTGCCATCACTTCATAAGGTCCACCAGGCTTCATAGGATCCAGGACCACCATCCAGCTGTTAGAGTATGCTGAAATAATAACAAGGCTTCAGGGAATTAATCAATTAATTAACTAAAATGAAATGAAAGCCCAGTCCCATCATGCATCATACTCATCTGTGTCTATTCCCAGCTTCAGTGATGAACTGAAGTCAAAGTTATGAAAATTGGCTAAATAAAAAAGCAGCAGCATCTCTATCATTAATCTGTGCCAATCCCTCTTTAATTTTACTGAAGCATTTATAAGAAAAATAAATTACCCAGTTATAATCCTAAATGCGGACAAAAACACGAAGAGATTAAAATTCAAGGAAGTTTAAGTAAAAACAAAATAGAAATTCTTATTATACTATCCAACTGTCAATATTAACATAATCATAATCTAATAGATTTACACAGTACCCCAAATGTGAGCACAGGTTAGAGAAAATCGTTTATAATCTGAAACTTCCCCTTATTTCATGGTATCATTCTTGTCATCAATCCCCTCACCTTCTCCCCACATTGCTACCAAGGATTAATACTAGCAGTGATTCTGGCTTCTCCTATCACCAATTAAACAGGTGAGTGGAGAAAGTGACACATAAAGAAACCGTGGGAGGCATATAAATTAATCTCTCTGTGAAGAAGATATTTAGACTTGCCCAGTTAATTATTTTCATAGCGTTATTTACCAGACTTAAGGTTTTCAGACTCAATTAAGGAAATGAAAAGCTATCCAAGACCCTATTTCAGAAATTCATAGCATATTTCTTAGGAACTACTCCCCCCCTCACCACCACTTTCCTACCTTCCTTCCACCCACTCACACCACCGCCTCTGCAAACATCATATTCAGAAACTTAAGGAAAATGTCTTCAAAATGGCAAAATTATGCCTAGGAGAACCAAACAACATGAACGAAGTTTAAAAAATGAGAATGAGAAAATTATAGACAAAATAGAGAAGGGATCATTTAAAAATAAATATTCTTGGGACAATGCTGAAGAATATGAACTAATTTTTAAGTTGTGTCCATCAGATCAATGCAAACTCAAAGAGAAAGAATTGTTAGAACTGGAAATGAAGCGTCCTAAAGTTATTATACCAGTCTATAAAAAAAATGATAAAAATACTATCCAAGTGACAACTGTGTTAAACGGTGTGCTAAGATCTTTCTAATCAGCAAAAGCTAAGCAGAAGCAATAGAAGTTTGGATGCTCAAAAGGACAGTAGATCAGTAAAAGCTCAAACCATAAAGGATTGCTCAGTTTGGGGGAAAATGTCCAAAACCCTCAAGGCATCGGTGGCATGTTTGCTCCTTTCAAAACACAACTGATAGAGCTTGCTCCTCTCAGCCTTTAGTGGTCAATTAAGACCAGGACCAAACGTTCGCTATTGTTTTTATACCATTAATAGCTAGACATCAACATATCAAATATATAATTCACCTAAGCAGAAAAATCACTGTTTTGAAAATAGTGGGCAGCTAGTACAGATTGTGTCGCACAGGTGCATGTGCTCCGTATGGTTCACACTTCTGAGCAGGCAGACACTCCAATCTGTCCCAAATGCAGCCTTGCCAAGGTCTTTCCAGGCTTCTTGCACTGACATATCTTACTGGAGCTCTGTCCTTCTGCCACCAACATTACTCATTTATAATGATAAGATCAACCTCCAGAAAACCTAGGACACGACTATTTTTTATCCTTTTACGACTACGCAATCCACTCCTTGTCACTGCTGTTAACTCGGTATTTACACCACGCCTCAATTCAGACAATATGGCTGGTGAAGAAAACTGCCTTCACCAGAGCTTCTGAAAGTTTTGCTGCCCAGCGATAAAATGACAAATAAGGGAAAATGGACATCTGGGCAAAATATGACAATACTACCTTATTATGGTCAGAGGATGAGCTCCCTCCATGGAGTGAAGAGAACTACAAATCAAGGCCTGAGCCTTATTCTCGAGAACTGTTCTCCCAGGGAAACCCCTCGGCTCGCTTGAAGACCCTGGAAAACTTCCTTCTGTTCTAGTACTCAAGTTCTTTTAGTTTCTAGCTTTTTCCCTCTCCCATTTGAAAGTAATGAGCGTTAAGTGAAATTAACTGCCAGGCAAGGCAGGAAAAATCAGATCCACTACGAAGGTAACTAATGGTCAAACTAACTCAGAAACAATTCATTTAAAACAATGAGGATTTATTCCCATGTAAGTATATACATAGGAGAGCAAAGACTGTTTCTTAGACCAGCTGGAAAGGTGGTATTATAAAGGCAGAAGTCAACACATTCCACAAGAATTGATTAGTCCTCGGCCTGTCGGTTTAGTACTGATTGGTTGAAGTGGAGCTCACCACAGGATGGCAAAATTCAGTTACAGTTTTAGTTTTTAGAAACTGTGTTGACCCACCAAGCCCATTAGGTTGAGTCTAAATAATAAAACTGTGTCACCGACCACAAAGAGTTGAAGTTCACCATCCAGCTGGTTTCCTGCTGGTCCTGGTGGGCTTTCTGAGCAACAGTTGCTCTGGTTCCTTCTTCTGAGCCCTCATCATTTGCTATTTTGTAAGTTAATTTCCCAATCCAGGCCCAGGTTTCTGTAGATTTTCATCATATTCAAATCTCTTCTTCATCACATTCTTTCTTCTCTCAACTAGGAAAATTCATCTCTTCCCTTCGTTACACGCGACTTAGAGTGCTTACCACGTGCCAGGCACTCCATCAAGTAAATGGCAGAAACAGCCCCTCTCCGGGTTATACTGATAAGAAAGCCTTGAAAACTGACTAGGGCTTTGTGTTTCCATACCTGGTGGCCTATTTCTTACTGTTCTTCTCTTCACAGTCCAGCCAAGGGCACAGGTAAAGAACTCTCTACCCCCATTTCTCTCTGTCTCCCTGACCAACTCCATCTCGAAATGGGAAGAACAAAGGGAAAAAAAATTAAAATAATCTGTCTAGAGACATGGTTAGTCATAAAGTGCTTTCTTTTTTCTTTTTTGCTATTCACATCAGATGTTAATTATTTTTCAGGTTGTTGTGCCAAATCTCAGATGCCAAGAACAGAAAAAGGAAAATTACCCATGGCCTTTTCCTTCCCAAGAGGAAAAACTAGAGCCAGAAGAAACCACTCTCGTCACTTCTTCCACTATAGAACCCTGGCACTTCACCGGCTGCAAACTGGTTCAGTGGTTTGTGGAAGTGACTTTACTGCCCAATGCTCCTTTCCAACTTGCATTTATTCTGTATAAAGTCCATCTCCACCACCACCAAATATAAATGTTAGAAAAAAAAAAAAAGCGTACTTTTCTGTTAGTAAAACTATTTATAGTTACTTAAACTATAACATGCTGTGACAGACACACCCTAAGATGACCCCCAATAAATCATGCCCTTGTATAATCCCCTCCCCTCAAATGCAGGTAGAATCTGTGATTTGCTTCTAAGAAACAGAAAATTCCAAAGGGGATGAAATGTCATTCTCATGATTAGGTTACATTAATAGAAAAGATAAAGGGGTTTTGCAGATGTGATTAAAGTCCCTAATCAGTTGACTTTAAGTTAATAAAAAGGGAGATAACCCTTAGTGGGCCTGACATAATAAGGAGCCCTTAAAAGAACATCTAGAGGTCAGAGGCTGGAAGCAGCAGAGATGCGGCCATGAATCCTACAGGGACAAGGAAATGAATCTGCCAGCAGCCTGAGGGAGCTTGGAAGAGGATAGTTTTCCAGATGAGAACATGGCCTGGCTGACACACCTAGACTTCAGCCTGTGAGATCCTGAGAAGAGCACCCAGCTAAATGATGGCCAGACTTCAGATCTACAGAAATTGTGAGATCGGAAAAGTGGGTTGTCTTAAGCACCTAAGTTTGTGGTAATTTATTATGTAGCATAGAAAATTAGCATGCATACTAACACTGCAACCAGGAGCTTTTTATTTTTCTAAAAGGTTTAGGCTTTTTTGTATTTTTCTAAATTAGAAAAAATATATCTATTCACCTCAATCATGATGACAAAATCAGGCAGACACACCCTCATTTTATCACCCACATGTGCATGCCGCACATGTATCACAGTAAGAGGATATATGTTATTCTCTCATTTTATTTCTTGTGTCTGAATCATCATGCATCATTTGACAACATGGTTTGAACAGGCCCAGCACCTGAACATATTCCCAATCATCCCTCAGGTTTTAATTTTCCCAATGCTTATGTGTCAGTCTGCTGGACAAAAACCTTTATTTTGTTAATTCCACTTTGTTGTGGGCACCTAGGGGATTACAGGTAATAAGTTAAATATTAACTGTGATAGAGTGGCAAACTGAGGTCATCCAGCTGAAAAATCCCAGAGTCCTCATTAATATTTAAACAGAAATCAACCCTTCAATACAGGCTGCAGTATCTCTTTTGAGAAACATTTTCTTTCCTGCCCTATGAAATTTCCTACATGTCCGACTTCCTTATTCCAAATAACACTTTATCCATTTTGCTTCATGGGCAGGACAGAGCAAGATGCCCACTGAAATAGGTTTGTGAAGCTATACAAACTAAAATACCCTTGTTCTCTATCAAGCAAATATAGAAAGTCTAACAAATAGATCTACCCACCCCTCTGCCACCACTATCATTTTTATCTATTCTAAACTGAGGCTCCCTTGTAGGGCCTCTCTGCTCATGAAGGCTGCTAATTCTCACCTTCCTGACCATCCTCTACCTTGGGTCAAGCGACTACCTTGGGTCAAGCCTTCACTGTCTATTGTCTGAATATCATAATAGCCTGCTAACATGTCCCACGACCTCTAGTCTGATCAATCTCCAATGCAACTTCCACAGTGTCGCCAGAATAATCTTTTTAAAATACAAATCTTATTGTGTTATTGTGCTGCTTAGAATCCACGGATCTAAAATAGAGTACTTACTTCTTAGCAATGACAGACAAGCCTACCTTTCCAACCTTGTTTCTTGTCATCCAGCCACCAGTCACATATCCCAGTGTTCCAGACAAATCCACCTACTCGCCATTTCTCCAATGACCCATGCTCACTTGTGCCTCCATGCCTTTCCCCAGGCTATTCCCTCTACCTGGTTAGCCCTATTCATCTTTCAAGATAAAACTTAGACCACGTTAATTACTCCTAATTAAGCACTCCCATAGCACCCTGTACTTCCTCTCTGTGGCATTTATCACCATTAACTGTAATTGCTTATTATTTTTCTGTCTCCTCTCTTAACTTACAAACTTCATTAGGGAAGAGATCACATCTGTTTTGCTCATCACTGTATCATCAGTACCTAACACAGTAGCTGGTACACAGTAGCCACTCAATAGATATTTGAGTGACTAAAACAATAACAACAACAACAACAACAACAATAAACATTTATTCAGTACTTGTTGTGTGCCAGGCACTGTTCTGAGTACTTCATATGTGTTCATTCATTTAATCCCCACAATAATCCCAAATACTATTAACTCACTTTACAAATAAATAAATAGGGACACAGAGATAATAAATAACATGTCCAAGGCTATACAGCCATTAAGTGAGAGAGTCAGGAACTGAACCTAGACAGTGAATTCCAGAGCCTGGGTTCTTATCCACTCCTCCACACTGTCTCTCTTTTATATATAATTCAGTTCAAATGCCACCTTCTGTGCAAACCTTCCCTTACCATCCAATCTGAGGTAGATGTTTCTCTTCCGTATCCCATGACACCCCACATACACCTTCATCATAGCAGTTATCACGCTGCAATATATAACTTAGTGTCTATTCCCATTATTCCATGAGCTCCTTGAGGACAGGTACTTTGACACAGTCTTAGTTTCCTTTGCATCCTCAGTGCCTAGCGCATAGTAAATTGTCAAATAATTTTTATGGATGGATGGATGGATGGATGGATGGATGGATGGATGGATGGATGGATGAATAACCTGAACTGGAGCATAAGCATTCATTTTTAGATAATCCAGCAGGTGGCAGAAGAAGACAAAAGCTGAACAGAGGATGGGTTGCCTTACCTTTCACATGGGTCACTTTCTTCATGATGATTTCCTGATCCTGGCAAAGAGTCACTGTCACTGTGGCTCCAGATATGCCATAACCCCAAATCACTGCCCCTGCAGGCTCCTTCTGCAGCACCATGTAATTATCGATGTATGAAGCAAACTGAAAACCAACACCTAAAAAATTTCACGAACACTTAGAAGAGCATCACCGGGAAGATTCGTCACTGATGGAATCTGGTTACACAGCAAGCACCATCCAGTCTTCATACAAAAGTATTTAAATATACCCCGTCCTTTTACTCTTCTGAAACTATATTTTACTCCTCCTAATTAGGTAGGCAACATAACAAGAATAGTTTCCAACAATATGCATCACAGTACAAGACCAATAAGGAAAATGCAAAGAGCCTAGGGCAAGCAATGTGCCACAGACCTTCCTCTTCAGAGCTCTTCATCTCCTTTGCTCTCAGGCGTGGCCCTAATGTTTGACTCTCTCTCCCCCCAAATCATTAAAATGCTCCTTTTAAGCACCCCCACAGATGGTGTTTATGAGGAAAATAAACCACTTCCTTCCCCTACTTTCCATAACCACGCCCACTCCTCTAGCTGGGAATAAAGAAGCCTGCCTCTCCCCAACACAGCCCTCCCCTAATCTTTTTCACCCCTTTCCATCTTACCAGTGTGAATTTCCCTCAAATAACTCCCCTTATTGTTTTTTTGACAACCCACTGACAATTCTAAATAAGAATTTATGAATATCTGTGACAAGTCTGCTTCCTTCTAAGGTAAATTCAGATAAATTATGATGCAAAAAACGTCAGTGAGAGGTCAAAATGTCTGAACAAAGGTCTTCTGTCCCCATTTTACCCATTTCTTGAGGTAAATTATGCAAAAAGAACAAGGGGAAGAGCACTTGAAACTGTGGATTCTATTTTAGAGTCACTAACAAGACTGAATAAGAACTCACTTTAACAAGATCATTCCTATTTTTAACATCCAGCCTATATTGAAGTATTTTATTAATAACAAGCATCTATCCAAATTATCTCAGTGAGTTTCTCATCAAAACTTAAAAGGGAAAAAAAAAGTTACATCCCAGTTGGTCTGAAAAAAAAAAGACAAAAATCTCTAGAAGAAAATAATTAACAAAATTAAGATTTTTTAAAAAGGGTTTTAAACAAAAATGATAGGCAGGAAAGAGAATCAGACCTAACGAGGCTGACATTTTCCTCCCTGGAAGCTGCAAATGATGACAGCCCCTTCGGCTACACTTACCAGAGCAGCACAGCTAATGGGCCACCTACACAGACTCAGTGGCCTATTTGTCCTGTGCTTCAAATAACAGTCCTAGTACCTAAACATCCTCAGCTCTCTCTTATGAGTTAGTCCCATCATGAAAACTACATGACAATCAAAGTTCATCCAAAAGGGCCACTGGGCTGGAGATGCACGGCTGCCAGGAGCAAAAGGTTCTAAGAGACACCTGGAATTGCAAAAGCACATTGGCAGCCTGCTAGAGAGAAAGGAAGAAGCATGTGTGTGGGAAGCCTTGTCTTGGGTAGGTGCTTCTTAAGGAACAAAACTGAAAACCAAAGGCCTAAGAGCTAAGCAGACAGAAGGTGGGGGTGGGGGAATGGAGCGAAGAAAATTGGCTGCCGCTGGCATATGAGCCCATGCAAGTGGAGGGCTCTAGATGTGTGCAGCCACTGTCTCAGAGGCGGGTGGAAACACCATTCCAAGTCTGTCTGTTTTCTCCAACGCACATTTACTGACATGACTATTTGTACATGGCTTATACTAAGCTAAAAAATTTTAGAAGTGGAAAGTATCTTTTACACCCTGGGGTATAATAACGGTTATTTACTGGTCAACAGACTGAGTAAATTAGGTAATTTTAAAATATAGCTTGAATATTAATTAATTCAACAAATATTTATTGATGCCTATGTGCAAGGCACCATTTAGAGGACTGAAGATATAACAGTGAAAGAAAAACAAACAAACAAAAACAGACAAACCTTGCCAGCAGGGAATTTACATTCTACTGGGGAGCTTACTTGTGGCAGGCACAATGCTAAACACACTGCAGGCATTAAATTTCTTTGACTGACCTCAAATCACATAGGTAGTTTTATGACAAGACTGGAAACCAAACCTCTTTATTCCAAAGTTACTGCAATTTCCACTCTATCACAGTTGAAAACATGGTGAAACCAAAGAAAAGTCGTATTTCCTATCTTTATAAAGCTCACATTCCAAGCTGAGTAGACAGCAGAACACTACCAAGGAATGGAGCAATGGACAAAGCAGGGAACAAGAAAGGAGGCAGGACTAGTAACTGTTTTTGTCAAACGGAAGATACTTATGCTTAATGTTTGAAAAAAAATTTTTTTTTTAATTCTTCAATTTTTCCTTCATTTGGGTGGAGTAGAAAAATAGGAATTGGCATTCTGGGGAAGAGACCATTATTAAAAGCAGATTGACAAAATTAGGACAGTGGGTACATCTGGTGAGGAACTGGTGCATTGGGGAGGAACACCAGGGAATCCTGATAAAACTATCAATGTTCTAGTTCTTAAGTTGAGCACAGCACCCATGGGTGTTCATTTTATTGTTTCGTTACATATATCTCTCTACATCTCAAACATTACATGATAAACAACAGCACGAAGAGTGATTTGAAGGAAAAATACCAGGATATGCAACTAAATAAGAAGGAAAATTTATATCTTAATCAATGAAAAATATAGTCAGTGTTAATGAAGGTGATGTAACAATATGACCTAAAGGCAAAGATAAAATACTGACAGACTTTAACAGAAAAACTAATAAAATAATAGCCCTACTCTGCTCTTGGACTCAAAGGTCTCTATGTGGAGCTGAGTCAGAAAAAGATTTGTTTACACTTTTGTTAAACCCTGAAAAGCCTGCGTACTTTTGGGGTTCTCGGGTACAGCATAAGTCATTTTTCTGCACTCTGCTGTTGCACTTTAACTTTCATTTCTTAACAGGGATCTTCGTGGTTCACCATTTGAGTGTTTGAAAAAATATATAGGTCCAACATTATCACTTTAATTTTGCATTAGCAGATTCCATTTTCTGATTTCTCCATGGTTATGACCCAGTGTCCAGCCTGGTATATTCAAATGACAGGATCTCACCTGGACAATAGTCAAAGTGAGTCACCCTCCTCCCTAATGCCACGCATATTATCCCAGCAATATCTATGAGTTGCACCAGAAACCGAAGCTGAGCCTCAAATATTCTGAGCTAGTGATGGGGTTGTACTTCTTAGCCCCAATTACCACTTAAACTAGTAAAATTTAATTCCTTGCTTGAAGCAAACCCACTCTAGGGTACCACTGAGGGGGCGGTACTGAAATGTTTTGGATGACTCAGTTAACTGTTTCCAAATATCTAACTGGCTTCGCTCCTCCTCTTGGAGCTCCCCTACAGTTATTCAAAGACCCCGAGGGCCTCCCCACTCAGAAAAACCCAACTCTCCCTCCGCCCAAAGCGCGGTATCCTAACAGCGGTGGACGCGAGGGAGGAAGCGGAAGGGCTGGGACTCAAGGCCAGCAGAATCTGCAGCCCAGGCCTCGGTCGGAGACTCCTTCCAGGACCTTGAGAGGGATGCCGGTGGGGGTCCTGCGAGCACGCGGGATGTCAGAGCCCGCACAGGGGTCGGGCCGAGCAGGGCCGCCTCACCTGCACTCGTGTGGGCCCGCTGTATTAATGGCAGCACCAGCCCCAATACAAACACCGGCACTACCATGTTAACCAGGATCCGTCTCCGAGCGCAGGCCTCCAGACGCGAACACCAGGCCTGGGCGGGGCCTGGTGGGGGCGGGGACGTGGGCGGGCCGGGGCGGG